AATTTCGAGAGGGGAAAATGACCTCTAAGACATACGTAATCTTTTTTCATTTTTTTCATGACTTCCATAGCCTTGACAAATCTAGTCAACCGGAAAATCCGGTCAAATCTCAATTTCAATTCCTTCGGTTCGCTGAGAGGCCTGTAAAGTGAAGTTGGAATGAGAAACCAGCTGCCAATAAAAGGGGCAATTTATGCAATCTGTCTACAGAAATTTCAAACCAATTCGAATCTTCCTGATGGCAGAATATCACATTATCCAATATCGCAGCAGGAACACCGAGAAGGTTGACAATCTAAGATGATACTGTTTATGAAATGATCTACATAATGATTTCCAAAGAGAACTCGAACCGGCCTCTTTCTGAAAGTCAGCTACTTTGGACGAGAGACTGTGTAACTTTGCCCATCTTTCAATGTAATTTGTATGTTAAACTCATCAGATTTGCACTGAAGTTTTCCTTGCTGAAAGAAATAGCCCTGAGAGAGCGTTCTAGACAAACAACAGAAACTATAATAATATAGATGGTTCCCTAAGCTTCATTGTATTTAATCTTGTTCTTTATGTGATGGGATTTGAGAAAAACTTTTTTCTTTCTTCCCTAAAAGATTATTGAGCAGACGTTCCGGGCCTAAGCCCTTCTTCAGGTCACTGTATTACGTAAACAAAGATCTTGCACACGCACAACAATACGGCAGCAACAGTCATCATGGAAAAGCATTCAAGCACCCCTGCAGCGAGCTGTCTGAAAGGGAGAGGTAGGGGTTGCCTAGACTTCTTGTGCGTATATAGGCAAAAGTGGGAAAGTGGCAGGGTTCTGGGTATACAGGGGGCCAATAAAAAAAGACACTTTTCTCCCTTGACTTTCGAGGCGTTGTAAGTTACACTTGATTGAATTCTGATCGGTCCTTTTAACTACCATAATAAACAGCATCCTACTATATATAATCCGCTAATTATGTCTGTGTGTGTGCGTTCTGTCGTCTGGTGTGTCACGAAATTCCTAGCGCCTTTCCCAGTAACAGGAAGATTTTGGTTCCAAGATATAATGTAGGGGGTGTCACGAGAACACCATTGGTGGGTGATAGGAAGTGATATCAGTTGATAAGGTCCGATAAGAGGTGTCAGAAGGAGAAGATTACTATATTCATAACGCGGGTGACAGCATCAGCTAGCTCTCGATTCCAAGATTGATGTAGAGTATGGGCCAAGAACATTATTTTTGGGGTGACAAGAACTGCGAGCTGCTGATAAGATTCGATAAGGGGCTTCAGAAGGGGAAGGTCACCATATTCATAACGCGGGTGACAGCCTCAACGAGGCGTTCATTTCAGCAAAGATATCTAGGGTGAGGTGGGGACAACAACCGTGGGTGGCTCCAAGCGTTAATAACTGATAGGGGCTGATAAGAGACGTTCAGTCGTCGTCGCTGTTCAAGGCGGTGCAGCTTTAACATTACCAAACTATAAGGATTTAGCGATAAAGACATTGATGACGGGTGGAAGGTAATCATATCATTCGATAAGAATGGATAAGATACCATCTGCGCTACATTTTTATCACTCCTTACCGCTTTAATGCCGAGTATTAGAGGCTCAGTGTGTGAAGACTTTCCTTCGATATGTTCGATGTAGATAGAGCGTTGTTAAATGCGTGAAATGGCGTCGAGCGGGGGGAGGGGGGGGGCCGGGGGCGGCGGGGTGGCGCGGGCGGGGGGGGAGGGGGCGGACGCGATGGGGGGGGGGGAGGGGTATATCCATACGGATTGAAAGGGAAGCATACGAGAAATTCATAGCAATCAAAAATTATTCGGAAACCTGCCTGTTATATGATGTGCAACCAGGGTACAGCACGAGGATGTGCGAAATGGCGCTGTGAGTACGCCCCCCCCCCTCGAAGGAGGTGCAGATACGACCCCGCGCCGCCCCCTCCCCTCCTGCTCTACTGAAAACCAGATGCATGTTCACCACAAATGGCTTCCTGAAATGGAATCTGGATTTTCGAAAGGCGGACTCTGCTCTAAATCCAGGCAATAAGAGGCTGTTTCAGCCTCATGCAATATGAGGCTGAACAACAGCCTCGCATTACCTACAATTTTGTCTTAGGATTCAAAATAAAACTCCTCGTTCGATAACCATGTATGACATGCAACTTGTAAGAAGGAACACAATCGAAACAGCGACTAATGGTCATCAATGAGCTAAATTGGTGAAAAAATAGCCCCAAGGTCAGCGTGTCAGGCCTCAGATGTGCATTCAATGAATGGTGACGGGGAAATCATAAAAACATGAACGACACAACAAAGCGAAACATGAAAAATAAAAAAAATGCGGAGCCAAATGAGAAAAAGGATAACCAGGCGGCAGTAAATCGTTCTATACTTGGCTATTATCGATCGCAAGGTCGCAACCGCTTTCGCTGCAAAAACGTCATTGGAGCGCGGTAACTCGAAAGTCAGCGTCCTGGGGTCTTTTCAGGAGCTTATATCTCTTTTAGGTGCGGAGCTTTTGAGGAATGGTGAGCAGCATGCAACGGCAAAGTTTCTACTGTTGTGTATTCTACCTAGTTGCAAACTGAACAATCCCCCGTTGGTGAAATATTCCGGATGGGTTTTGGATAGGCTAGGGGTAAATGGCAAGCGGGTTTTTATGCTTCACACGAGGACTACTTATTTCGAACGCAATTTCATCAGGATTGAAATAGTCTTGAAACCGCCCTATCTTTTCTCTTTCCAATAAGCTTTACAGTTTTTCTGAGACCCACTAGTTCAGGAGATATTTTAGATGGGTCACAGACGCGCTACCCTCTGACCCACCCGAAAAATCGACTCCTTCTGTGCCATTGTGAGGATACACCTTCGAAAACTCCAAAACACATATTTCCCTTCAAATGAGTGAAAGAGGAGCTCGGCTATCACTGATCGATTTGGTCCGAGTGTGCGCCGTGCATTACGCTCCTACGCAGAGGTGGTGGAAAGGTGTAAATTCTAATTTCAGGTGCTTTTATCCATGCAAGCAGATGTTTGTTTAGGGTTTGGAAAGGACAATACGCACGAATCTGTTTGAGACGTATTATTTAGTCATCTACGTCTACTTACGACGAGTTCATGCTATTAACTGATATTT